AGCAATATTTATTACCAGACCGAATAGTCTGTACCATAAACATCAAGAGAAATGGAGAAGAGAAAAAACTGAATACAAGGTGAGACGCATTTGCATGTTAGTAAAGCATTTACTCAGAACCGTGCAGAAGTGTTTAAGCTTTATGAGTGGTGATGGTGCAATGATCGCATATGAGAATGGCGGCAAGAGCCACAGTGATCGACATCGCAATGGTAGCGATGAATGGAGACCATATATTTTTTTTGTCTAAATAGTAAAACACTCCAGCCATCGCCAAAATTGCGGCAATTATGGTGAGCACAGTGGCTAGAATGTCCATCCAGTCCTTTCCCTTCGTCAAGGTAAGAATGAGGAAGATGGCGGCAAAAAAGACAACCACACCAGCTGTAGTGAGGAGGGCGCCAGTTGTCAGGTTCACCGAGTTTTTGGCACATGTCTGGCCCAAAATGCTGCCTTTACAATCCCATCCACCGTAGCCGATCGCCGTGAAGTAGAGGATGACAGCAATGAGAGCCAATACAACATAACCCACTCGATGATCCGTGTGCGACATGGTGAGTTAAAAGAGTGGTGTGAGGCATCTCATGACATAAGGACTCATTTATAGTTGTAGTAATTTGCTTGGCTTTGCTGTCATTGGCTTTGACAACCCATCAGTAGCCGCACTTGAGTGTTCACAACTGTGAGCATTGCGAGGTATCGACTTCATTGCTTTCTTGAGAAAGAGCATTGCGAAGACAAGTTCACATTTCTGGAACAGATTACTTCAGTGTGCCATGGAGGGGTGGAATGCATTCTTCTGACCTACTGCTTAAATCTCTCACCTCCTCACCTACTCACTGACTTATTCATCATTGCTATTTTGACGTTTCTTCCATTTACTTGGCTAAAAAAACCATCAACGTTAATCCTGACTCAAGCACACATTTAATACTTAAACAATTTCGAGAATATAAACAGGCATTTCGATGCCAAACAACCACACATTTCTCCCTTCACTCACCAGTCAAACAAACACCAAACATTGCAAAACCAAGGATGCGTTTGTCTATGATGTGGGCTTACGATAGAGGACCCAGGCAAATGCATTTCTAAAGCTCGTCAAGTCAAGCATGGGTAGATTTGTAACGCACTACTAGCGAATTTGACTTTCATCTGCCACACTAATAACGACTGGTAAAAGGGCTCACAGTCAGTCTAAAGTCAACGACCGACTTGGTTAGCGGTACCTGTTGGCTCTGGTTCCACAACAACAATTTGGAAACAATCTTGCGGTCTAAGAAAAATACGGAATTGCTCCGCTAGAACCAGCATCACACAGTCCCCTTACCCGCCCTGTTTTGGCATCGGAAGCCGTGAGTCCTGAGGGATCGACGCACTACATTTGCACGTCCACACTTACATCTGTCCGTCACACGCAGCGAGAGCTAACACACATTCCTTTCTGCTCTTCCACATATGAGGCCAATGGTAACCATTTTAACACCCGTCTTCATCACCTCAACACATGCACAACATCGCATATTAGACTGACAATGACACTCCTCTTCGTTCACAGACCCACACACCAAAATGGAGCGTTTTTCGTTCTGCCACACAGCATGTCTTTCTCTTCCTCACTCTTAATTCTCACGCACTGAGGTGCAAAAGCAGGAGCTTAACATTAGCACTGAACATCTGGAACGGTGGACCGATGCACCTCAGTAGTAAGCCATTAGTGAGGTCATTCATTTTATGCTGACAAGAAAATTTATTGCCACACTGCATCCTGTCCTAAACTCCAACATGCCCAGCAAGACGGAAGAAGGAGGCAAGCACACGTGCACCCTCTATTGCTTTTACATAAACTTTCAAAGAACCTCTCACCTACATCAATTTTATTCAGATGAAGTATAGCACCACTGCTAAAAGTGATGGAAGACTGTGGGAAATGTGTCCCACCTCCTACCCAAGTAGCGCTATATGTGTCTAACGTCACTTCGAAGTAAAGAAGCTCTCGTTGGATAACCACTTGGTGACCTTAGAAGTCCACGAATCCACACCGCACCGAAAAGATGATAATAGTTAAACGGGAAGGAATCAATGGAACAGCAGGATACGCAGTGTAGGCAGTTAGACGGTGGCAGAGCCTGGCACAGAGATGGGACAGGACTTGCATTTGAGGATAGCTGCAAAATTCACGATGATCGACAATGCGATCAGAGGGTATCATTAAATGGCAACAAAAGAACTTGCCGAAGACCAAAATGACTATTCCAAACTTTGCGCCTACGTTAATAACTTGGATCCCCAAATTATTGCGATGCAAACGAGGACGATGGAGTACAATAACTCTTAACAATGAAATTTAGGAACACATTTCCAGATTCCATGTAGGTGCAGAGCTCTTCTGGTTAGTTGCATCTGCGATCCCATTTACTGAACGACAGCAATGAGAGCTAAGACAACTTTCTCCACCGGAGGAGCCTTGTGTGTCATGAAGCGTTAGATGCGGCATTAATCTCGCCATCTCTTGAATGATCGTTTATAGCACTAAAGAGTGCTTGACTCTGAGAACGTGGACTTTGGCACTTATAACTAAGTAAGATGGAACATAGATGTCATGCACCT